CCAGGCAATTTTCATTTTCTAAGCTTATGTTTCCGATTTGTTACAAAATATGAACACCACACTCCAGTCTTTATCAGTGTTCACTATGTTAAGTTTTATCTTATTCTACCATTCAAGAATGGTTGCTGGTGCTATAACTCACCAAAACTATGGGAAAAACGGCATTTTCGTTGCTATCTCGATCAATAATTCACCAAAACATCTTATGGCTTAAATATTCTTTGAACGTTTCAATAAGCAGTGTTTGAAGATAACGATGTGAACCAGGCATGATTCTTGTCTTGCATAACATTCAATTTTTCCATTCAGCTCAGTAATTTGGAGTGGCTGTATCTCCAGTACTGCCTCGTAACTGGAGTATACATGCTTGAGCCTTGGGAGAGGAAGCTTTTTACAAGTTTTGCAATCGTGACTATCTCAATCGTTGTGGGCATTTCGATCGTTGCTGGAAAAACCCTGCTTATGTGAAGTGCGTTTATTTTCTATTTTAGTATAGTCTAGACTTTATTAATATCAAACAGATTTTTTCCGCCGTAAAAGGATGATGTTATTTGTTGCATTTTGTGCTCTAATATAGAATGATTTCATTCTGAGAAGGGCACAGAACGAAGATGTGAATTTTTGGAGTGGGTAGCTCAACAATTAATGTGTACTTGTTGCGTAGTGATTCACAAAGAGGTTTTTTTCTGCAAATGCTGGGATTCTTTCATATGCAAAGGGATCAAATTCTGCCTTTTTGCGCATACTTTAAAGCATTGTCCATTGTATAATTACTGACTCTAGCCAGGTCGATCAAGCTCCTAGTTTTTGCCGAGCTACTCGTAGTTCAATTTTCTTCCAAATTCTTTTTAAATATATGAGATCAATGAGCACTTCCAAAAAGTTTGTGAAGCCAAAGGAGTTGTAGATGACGATCGTTTCTATGTTCCAGGTTGTTAATCATGCCTGATGAGAAGGTCACAATCTTACTTCGTGCTGTTGGCGACGCTCCCATACTGAAGCAGAAGAAATTTAATGTTGATGTTCATAGAACAGTGGCCTGGTTTTCACAAGTAATTAGAAAGCTGATAAACTTGCCCGACGATCAGTCTCTGCATATTTATATCTCTCAAACTTTTGCCCCATCTCCAGACCATACATTTGGTTCCCTTCGTGATTGTTACGCTGTTAGGAACGATGGAAAGGAAGATCATTTGATTATGCATTACAGCACTACATATGCTTGGGGCTAACTTTTTCATACATGTATATCCCCCTATCTATATTTATTAAAATTTGCTATAATTCGCTTTTTTACAATTATGATAAACTTTGACTGTATGAAATGGGCAATCCTTTTTTGTATTATATATGTTTTTGTGAAATCGACCGGAAGAATATATGTTTGCCACTACTTTTCATGTATACTTGTTGCTACAGTCCAGTTCTTATGGATACCACTGTATATGTTCATTTGCACCCTCCTCACGTATTATCACCGGTGCGGAACAGAAAGCAACCTTTTTTTCCGATATGCTCATGAAAAACTGCTCATGAAATCAAGATTTCCAAATAAGCAAGGAAGTATATGATCTCGGAGTATTTGCGAAAACATGAGATGTTAAGAAAATCAATTTTTCTTGTTAAGTTTTTCGTTAATAGAATAATACGCCATGAATAAGTA